TTACAGTTATTTTTTTTTTTTTTTTTTTTCCCTTAAGAATAGGTCAGTCTGTTGCATGTATTGTCACTTGAATTGTTCTTGAAGATATTTTAGCTTAATTATGATGCTTATTGCATTTGAACAGATATCTGGAAACATGGCTACTGAACATGTTAATGGGAATGGTACTGAAGAGCCCATGGATACTTCTGCTGCAGTTACCCATTCTGAGCATTTCCAGACATTGCTTGATGCTGGTTTACCACAGAAAGTTGCTGAAAAACTAGACGAAATTTACGTTGCAGGTAAGATGTAACACTTGCAAAACCACACTTACAATATTTTATTGGATTCTGCTGTCTTTGGGCTAAAATAGCAACTTTTTGTGGTTTCCAAAAGTATGGGAACTGCAGTCTTACCAAAATCTGTGGATGTTTTCCATTCAGTGCTTTAATTCATCGTAGTATTTTTCAGAGAAGAGTCTTGGGCCAGGCCACTGGGCTGAGGGGTGGTAAGGAGGAGAAGTATGCAGGTGACCATAGCAACAGCTGGAATAGGCAACAGATGATTTTTTTCTTAGGAGGAGTAGGTGATGTGGTCTTTGTGCATCTTTTATAGTAGTTGTAGGTAACTGTAAGTAACTGAAGCCTTGGTATTCATCTTCTCATGTAAATGATAATTTGTGATATTGTATTTGGGCTCATGGACGCAAAGGTTATTGTATTGGTTCTCTCAGACATGGTAATAGCTAGCATTTTTTAAGCTTGATTTTTTTTTTTTGGATTGTGGTGGTCACTTTCAGTGCTGCAGTTTATTTGTCTTTATAGGCTTCTCAAAATGTACCAGGTTACCATTGCTAGGCAAGCTAAGTCAGGTTTTGATAGATCCTTCTGAATTCAGCTTCAAGATACTGAAAATAAGCTTGGCCCGTGTAACATCTGGGTTTCACAGAAGTCATAAATGCAGTAACTGTTAATCTTAACTTTTTTTGACTTTTTTTTTGATTAAAAAAAGGTTAAATACACTTAAATATTTACCTTTAAGAGAACTAAGTAATTTATTAGGCGTAGTAACTTATGTTAATCAGTGATTGATTTAGGGGTCACTGAAATGTGTTAGATGTGTTAATTGTGGTTAAACAAAGGTTGCTGCCCAAATATAATTAGTAATTTTTTTTCTTTTCTCTAGGGCTAGTTGCACATAGCGATCTAGATGAAAGAGCTATTGAAGCTTTAAAGGAATTCAATGAAGAAGGTGCATTGGCAGTGCTTCAGCAGTTTAAAGACAGTGATCTCTCACATGTTCAGGTAATGTTAAGCAATTTAGAATATGATGTTGAGGGGTAAACTGCAAGTTGATTGGCAAGAGGTTTGCTTAAGTCTCTTCAGCGATCCATATGTGATACGTAAAACAAGCATGGTATTGGTTCAGGGTAAAATTAGATTCTGGCTTGTCATGTTTTCAGACCTGAAGATTAATATATCTTTTGCAGAACAAAAGTGCCTTTTTATGTGGAGTCATGAAGACATACAGGCAGAGGGAAAAACAGGGGACCAAGGTGGCAGATTCTAGCAAAGGACCAGATGAGGCAAAAATTAAGGTATGTGCCTAAAAGAGAAAAGTTATGCGGTCTGTCTGTGGTGTTTCAAAGCTGTTGTGACAGATACTTTGATTCATTTGGAACTGTGCTTTTCTTAAAAAGGCTGTTTTAGAGTATTTGTCATTACTGAAAGCTGTCTCTTGCATTTTTGTCTTACACTTCTTCCTCTTTAGGAGGAAAGTTAATATACTCTTAATTACTGGAACTGAGTGTATATAAAAGTGAAAAAGATTTGACAGTTTGCTTTATGTCTAGTTGAGATAGTTATACTATTTCACAGTTAAAAGTTTTTGGAAACTTGTCAGCATAGATCTTTGAGTTCAGAATACATAACTTCAGCTGCTGGTAGTTTTTTGTTTCTTTTCTTTTTTGTTCTCTGTTTTTTCTTTCAGTTCGGATTTAGAACAACTCCACAATAGGGAGGAGATACCACATGTGTCTGAAAAAACAGACTGTAATGGATTTAGGATTTAGCCCGCTTCTTGTGACATAATCGCTGTTCTCATAAACTGTACCCCAAACTGTCTTAGTAATGGACATGTTATTTCTTGGTCCGAGTCCTTGGCTAGCAAGAGACTCCTGTCTCAAGAGTTAGGCATACTATGATTTATTTTAAAATTCTGTGATTAGCAACTTTACCAAAGCTTAAGGAAGTGAAAATAATTTAAGCATGCTTAGTTGATGTCTTAAAAAGCGAGAGAATCTTTCATCTTTGACTTTTCATGTGTAAAGTGCAAAATGAACCTGATATATATTACAAATGACTGTGCAGCTTGTGAAACTAGAAAATCTTTTTTTCTCCTGACTTTGAGGCTGAGATACCATTAATTATAAATTCAAAAGAACTGATACAATTTTTTGTCACTACCACATAAAACAACAATAATATGAGGTCTTTGTTTACTAACTTAAAGTAGCATAGCTTTTATTGCTGATGGCTATAGCATTTTAAATAACTTTGCAATTTTCCAGTTGTGAAATTACTAAGTCTTGATTATAATTAGGCTTGTTTAATGTGATGTTTCTTTGTGTGTAGAGTTGGTTTGTCTTTGTACAAAATTATTAAGAAAGACTAATTTCAGAGGAGTTTCTCATTATGAATTTGCATACTGAATTTCATCTAACATTTTAAATTGGTAGTACATCTGTAACTGTATGCAGTGATTCTAGTGAGGATCACTTGTACAGGGATGCTGTATGTGCCCACAAGGAATTTGGGGGTGGGGGGAGAGGACAGGAGAAAGGAAGTAGTACTACCACTTCAGTGGCTGGATACCCGAAGCAGTCAGTACAGTGTTCCAGGGGTGTAAGCACTTAAACATGTGTTCTTTAACTTCACACTTATGAGTAATCTCATTAAGTGAAGGGAACTCCTGTGCATAAATGTTGGCAGGATTGGACATGCCAAAACAAGAAGTGGCTCAGACTAAGATCTTTCTAATTAAAGGGAAGCTTGCTATTCTATTACTTGGCCTTTTTTTTGTATGAAAGTGAAGGAATTGGGAAAACTATGTGAATCTCTAATTTTCTAACAGTATTTCCTTACCTGATAGTTCTAATAATTGTTTTGCAAGTTTCTTGTTGTAGTACTAGCAGTAGATTTGTTTGTCTGTGGGAGTTTCAGAGCAGTAAAGTTTAAGAGGAATTATAAGCATGTCTGTCTGTCAGTGAAGTGCATCTAAACTATCTCAATTTGTATATGATTTTAAAATTAAGTTTCTTACTTGAAGGCACTCTTGGAGAGAACCGGCTACACTCTTGATGTGACTACTGGACAGAGAAAGTATGGTGGACCTCCTCCAGAGTCTGTATATTCAGGACAACAACCTTCTGTTGGTACAGAGGTAAGAAGAAGGAGATGTTTATGTAAATGTATTCTTATTCATTGGAAGTATTTCTTTTTTATAAACAACACTCTGTATGTCTGTTGTAGATATTTGTGGGCAAGATTCCAAGAGACTTGTTTGAAGATGAACTTGTTCCATTATTTGAGAAAGCTGGCCCTATATGGGATCTCCGCTTAATGATGGATCCGCTAACTGGTCTAAATAGAGGATATGCTTTTGTCACTTTTTGTACTAAAGAGGCAGCTCAAGAAGCTGTTAAACTGGTAAGTTTTCTAACTTGGACTTTTTTTTTATTTTTTAAGAACACTGGCTGGCTTATAAGCAGTTGTCCTGATCCTAATGCTTAAGATCAAACTGTCATTGTTAGATCACTTCATAAATGCCCACTAGGTGTTTTTAAATATTTCTACATTGTGTATAAATTTTTACTGGCTGTGTTAGGGACAGGGGGGGAAAAAAACCCACCCGATGCCCTGCTGTTTGGTCCAGTTAGATAAGTCCTTATTATTAGCAAAAGTTGTATTAGCAATAGTGGCTTCTTGAGCTGTCTGCATCTGGATGAGTTTTGGGGAGAAGTGGTATCCGGGCTGCTGTGGTACAAGGGAAGCATTAGTCAGGTGGTTTGCGATTTCTCATTTGCTTGTGCACCAGCAGGGGGCCCCGTGCTGGAAAAATGCTCCTGAAGTCACAGAATTTCACAAGATACTTCAGATGGGAAATAATCACTCTTGAGTGTTAAGGTCTATTCTGTGCGCTGCAGCTGACTGGAAAAAGTCGTAAATCCTGCCAGGTTAAAGAACATTGCCTCTGTTTTATGCAGAGGTGTGAAATAGTTTGATATAAGGAATAGGCTACTCTTAATAAGCTTTCCAGCGCTTATGCATGAAGTATCCATCACTAAAAAAGAGTGGGGAGAAGAAATGCCACCCTGATCCTTGCACTGCTCGTTTCTTGTCCCAGTGAAGTTGAGTTTGAATTTTTTAGTACTACTACGTCGATATGGCCAAGATCAGTGTGCGGTATGACCCTGAAGAGTGCTAACCATACTCACTCTGAGGTGTACTGATATGGTATTAATATTGTAGGGTTAAAATCTCTTGTTTTGTAGTAAGGTACATCTTAAACCATCGAGGTACCCTATTGACATATTAGTAATGTAAGTCAGTTGGTGGAGGCAAATCAAGCTGAAGATGGGAATGTGTTCTGAAAAAGTATAGAAACGTCTACATACAGAAGTCTCCAGTATATGCTGTTCAGCTTTTTAAATAAGAACAGCTGGTGTTCCTGTGCACAATCCAAATATACTGAGGATAACTGTGTATACCTCTTTGTACTTCCATTGTCAACCTAGCTATTTATATGGTGTGTGAACTCTTTAAGAGTTAATGCACATGACTTGGCAAACAGTGAATCAAATCAAATATGTTCTCAGAGGCACCTAGTAAATGAACAAAAAGAAGTTTTTCTTCACTTAGCTGGATTTTGCTTAAAGGCAGCATGCTCTGAAAAGTAATTCAGGTTGTGTTTCCATAAAAATAACATCAGATCCTAGCCTCAGTCTTCCACTAAATGATAGAAAGGAAGGAGGTACTTAGTGTCCGTTTATATCTCATCTTTGTTATGCAGTGTGTTGTTTTTCAGTTAAATAGCAACTGAGTGTAACAGTTGAGAAGCATTGCGATTGATGGGGCAGTTTTTCAGCCTTTCTGCTAACCTCTTTGAGGGCAGGGTTAGTTTTAAATTGGATCCTGTGGCATTTGTCAGCTTTTGAATGGTTCCAACCATAGATGGCTGGCTAGTTTGGTGTATTATAAGTTTCCCAAGTTGTCTAGGAGTGATTTGTAGAGGTAACATGGCTGTAGAGCTCAGTTGAAAATTGCAGGTCTATCACTTGTATTAGTTGCACATGCGTGGGAGAGGCTGCTGAAAGACCTCTTAGAAATGATGAACCCTTGGTCCCAGCAATTTTAATATCCTAGTATTTTGACAGGTGCTGTTCTTTTTGATACTACCTGTAATCTTCTGATGTGTATACAACTTATTTCCCAGCTTTCTGGACTCTGTGGGATAGGGGTGGTTCTCTAATTTCCCATCTTCTTCCCAGAGGTTTGGTTTGGTTTTTTTTTTGTTTGTTTGGGTTTGTTTTTTTTTTAGGACTCTGTGAAGTATAGTAAAAATGAGAATAAAAATCTCTGCATTGCCTGTAGGCTTCTGAGTAATAAGAGACAGCTGAGAGGTTTTGTCAATACCCAGACTGCAGCAGGGAATAAACTGACCTGTCTTCAGGCTCTTGCAGTTGGTGTAACATATTTTGCATACAATTCATATTTGCATGGCTATTTTACCATCCACAGTCTTTATAACAACCTAATGTAAAACTGGACTAAAATTTTTTGATAAACTTGATATTAACTTACTGTGTTCATTAACCAGAAGAAATCTTGCAATTTAAAAGGTTGAAGCCTTGATTTTGTTTATGCATATGCATTTTTAAGTCACTTAAAGGGAAGAATTCCCTAAATTGTGTTTGAAATACTTCTGGGGCTGTGCTTGAGACAAAAATGGAGTGATGCTATGGCCTGATACTGAGAAGACTTAGAGATATGAACAGTAGTTAATTTTATGCCCAGAACTTAATCTAGTGTGGTTAACCCTCACTGGTTAAGTAGAAAGGACATCTCAGATGTTCACACAAGCACTGCCTATCAGAAGTCTAACTTGATTTTTTTTTAACCCTAGACATTTTTTCCCTGTGTTCCCAGACACTTGTTACCCTGTGTTTATCTTCTGTTTTATGCTGTTTTGAGTTAAGAACTATAACTCCAGTTGTATTCTTTTGTACACAAGTTCAATTCTCTCTCCTATTTCATATGAAGTTGTTAGATTTCAGTTTTTCAAAAGATTCCTGAGTGATTAAGGTTACTGTAGACATGTACAGGATAAATACTTGTGAGGTGAAGCTCGTAGGAAAACATACTGAAAACTATAGTAGCATACGGTGTATTTTTGAGTAGAGCAAGTGTAAGCTTGATCAAGTTGCAGGTACAGGTGAGTTATGCAAATATGCCCCTTAAGCAGTTTGCCAGCTATGTGCAGCAGTACAACTTGCCATTTGCTGTTGGAAATAAGCTAAAATTGCTGGTGAAAGTTTAAGTGGATAAAATGACAAGACAGACCTTATGCATACTTTGACTTGTTTGTGAGTAGGTTCTTGCATAACTTAGCAAAAAAAAAATGTATCATGCTGTCTAGAGGGTAGTAATATTTCTGTTACTAACTTTGGGCATTGATTCAGTGATGACAGGAGGGGGAAGCAGTATGCTGACATAGCTAATCTGGTAGCCTGACTGTTTTGGCATTTTACCCAGATCATGATTTGGGCCTGTTCATGTCTAATCTAAGTTTATAGATGGTATGCAAGCTATTTACCTAAAACCCACCAATTTTATATTCAAGAGCACCTAATTCGAAACTGTTTTTTCTATGTTAAGAGAAACATACAATGAAAAGTAGTAGTTAATATATTGTACTAAGAAAAAACTACTAGGAGCTACTGTCAGTGTGGAATTGCAATATGGTAGAATATTTTAATTTTTTTTCAAGTTACGAAATACTGGTTTGTTGCCAGGAGTTGTACAAGAGGCTCTCCTTGGATTAAATGTGTAGCCAAACTTTGTTCGTAGACTTAAACAGGAACAGTCAGATAATACCTTCTATTATCCATGTAGAACAGAATATTTCAGTTGGAAGGGACGAGCAACAATCATCTAGTCTAATTGCCTGGCTACTTCAGGGCTGACCAAAAGTTAAAGTATTATTATTAAGGGCATTGTCCAAATGCCTCTTAAATGCTGACAGGCTTGGGGCATTGACCATCTCTCTAGGAAGCCTGTTCCAGTGTTTGACCATCCTCTCAGTAAAAGAATGCTTCCTAATGTAAAGAAATGTTTCCTCATGTACACTTCAGCTAATGAAGAATCAGTTTGTCTTGTTTCCAGATTAATAAACTGTCAGCTTCTTTAAGGGATTTTTTTTTTTGAGCTAATGTAATCTGTCTCTTCATTAATGTGTGTAAGTCTGTTTATTAGTGATCATAATATATCCAGTCTTTCTGTGCAGCTGTTTCCTACTTTAAACTCAACTATTCCTCTGCCACATGGTCAACAGATATGGAGATAGAAGTCTTTTACTGTATCCTGCTGTGTTTTGAGACATAATTAGTTGGGAAGGTGCCACTCCAGATCCCTTTCACATGTACAGTTCTCCTTTTAGCTCACTTCCGGTGCAGTTGTCTAGCTTTGAAAGTTTTCAGTGATGTAGTTTTAGTTTGCAGAAGATAAATAAACAAACACCTTCACCCTGATTTTGGTGCAAAAAGCAAGAAGGGGTGTGGGAGAACTTGCTTATGCAGGAAGGTTTACCACTGAACACAAAATAACTCATAGAATAAATAGCTAGATTAAATTATAAAAAGCTGTCCTGCTACTTATCAATAAGATGTTGACCACAAAATGCATTTTCCTAGCTAAAGAACTGTCTGTTCCAGGGCTTCCAGTTGGAAAGGGGTTGATGTACCACCAGTTGACTCCCTGCTGCTTATTTGGATGATGCATGTCTGTGTCTGCATCTCAATGAAAGGCATTTTTTATCAACAGATGTCTACAGTAATACTTCTTTTTTTTCCCTTAAACTGCTGACTTGTTCAGGGCGTCTTCTAAACAATCTGTTATGGCAGAAGCATTTGCACAGAAGTCTTAGGATTTCAAGTCAGTAGAAGGTTGTTCTTGCTGTTTACTATTTTTACATGTATAATCTATGTGCTTTGGAAAGTATTTGCCAGTTGCTCTTGCACATTTTGTGGAGAAGACCTGATCGTGGCTCTCTTTCTTTTGTTAACTATGGAACTTTAGAAGGGAATCTGGCTTCAATTGTATCGCCCATCTTGTATTATACACAAAGCAAGAATTCATAGATAGAATCTATAGAGGAACTTGCATTTTCTTCCTGCACTGCTGTGAAGGGAGAAGGCTCGACCTTAATGACTTGGACATAAGATTTACCTTTCATGGTTCTACATGAAAAACTCTCTAAAGAAACATGTATTAAGAAAGAGGCTTGAACATGAAGGGAAGAATAATCATTGGCTGAAATTGCGGGGATTTCTTAGCGTGGGTATACTTCAGAACAGTTGAATATGTATTGTAAGAATGTGTTAAGTTCCAAAGAATTTAATATGTTACTTAATGCTGTGTTTGCAGAAGTAAAATATTTGGTATGCTGCTGTTGGAGGGGAGTGAAAATAACCTATAATATAACTGATGATTGTCCAATTATTTTTCTTTCAGTACAACAACCATGAAATTCGTTCTGGAAAACACATCGGTGTATGCATCTCTGTTGCCAATAATAGGCTTTTTGTTGGTTCTATTCCTAAAAGTAAAACCAAGGAGCAGATTGTTGAAGAATTTAGCAAAGTAACAGGTAAGTGAATAACTGTGTTTTGTAGAGGTGGAAAGATGTCAAACATGATCAGTGATGAACTCTCTTCGCCATCTTTTGGCTTATGGTTGAATGATGATGAATCCAAACGAAGGCCACTCAGCATTTGTCCTGACTTTCAGGCATTTTATTTTTTTTAGAACTTATGCTGAGGACTTAAATGTTTGTGATTAGACTAGATGTGTGGTTCCAAGTTTTACCTAGAGAATGTGTGTAATGTTTAAAAAAAACCCCAAACATTCAAAGAAATAGACGGTTAATTATTTCAGTACTAATGGATGTTTTAAAACTTCTCAAGGCAGAACTGAAGCAGGTTGGAGAACATAATAGTTCTGTGCTTTAGAGTTCTTAGTGATTTGATAAGGAGATAACGGCATATAAACTGGGAAAGGTAACATTTGATGGCTTTCTCTATTACTGAGTGATGTACTTCAGATTCCGTGGAGCAACAGTGGAACTTCAAAGATGTCTTAAAATCATGCAAGTTTGATCTCTTGTTTAGACATCCATGGAAAAAAACCTCATGCTGATAAGTGGTGTGACTTAGGGGTTTGAGAAAAGAACTGACAAAGCACAACTTTTGGCTGCCCTTATCTCTTCTCCATTTAGTTAGAGGAAAGGTACTCTTCCATAGCGACTAAACTTTCTTCATGTAATAAAAATGGAGCCTAAGTTGGGATAGTCTAATGTCTCTCTTTGAAAATGTTAGTCTTAAAGGTAGGGAAATCTCATTATGTGCATGGTCTCAAAAGTGTAGTGTGTTCGTGCTTTTTTGGAACCACTTGTCGGATGCATGCTTACCAGAAAGATAATCCCTACTTTATAATACAAATTCATGAATTGAAGCCATAACAAATAAATATTTTGCTTAATTTCAGAGGGTCTTACAGATGTCATATTGTATCATCAGCCTGATGACAAGAAAAAGAACCGCGGTTTCTGTTTCCTTGAATATGAAGATCACAAAACTGCTGCTCAGGCCAGACGTAGGTTAATGAGTGGCAAAGTGAAAGTTTGGGGAAATGTTGTTACAGTTGAATGGGCTGACCCTATAGAAGACCCAGATCCTGAAGTCATGGCAAAGGTAATAAAGCTATAAGGGAACCATAATATATTTAAAGTGCCTTGTTCCAAAGTAAATAACTTCCTGACATTAGCCTAAGTTTAAATAGTGTCTTTCAGCCTTCCTGACAGAGATGTTGTAGGCGAGATGATAAAAATATGAATCCACTCTAGAACTGATGTGAATTTTAAAGCTCTCTTGACTGATGTTATTTTGTGCTCCTAAGGCTGAACGTTGAACATAATTCTTGCCAAAATGACACATAGGCCTCATGTACTTAGTTCTCATTGGGAAGTGGTGGTGGTGACTCCAAAAGTTAAAATGGTTTTGTAGCTTAATATTTGGAGGGATGGAAATCTAGATACACTCACAGAACAAGCCTTAATTCTTTTTAACCCTGGAACTTTGTCACTTCAGAATTGGAACATGTCAGCAAGATAGACGAATGTGTTTTCAAAGCTGCCTGTAGCAGTTACTTCTGAGAAGTTAGGCAATTACTTAGTGTTTGGAACTCTGTATCTTTATTTTTAATTTTTGGGGGAGTTAATTCCTTAAAATACTAAGACTAGTAATATTTTGGATTTCAAGTATTTCAGTAAAACTGAAGTCTGGACTGTTAACATTTTGAAGTACATTGTAGCAGTTGTTTTATATATGTGTGTGGTATTTTGCCAGAAACGAATTACCTGAATTTTTTTCCCATCAGATAATGCCCAACCCTGTCTTTTTCAGTTATGTTGTGTAGCTGAGTTGTTTAATGGAAACTCCTAGCTAGCCCATATCCTTATCTCTTTTTCTTTGCTTGCTTTTTGTTTGTGCTTTTGCTCTCATCTGAGACACATCACTTGCTGGAGTCCTACTTTGATGGACCTAGTAAGATAGCTTGGCTGGGATCTCCTCTTTGGTGAGCCATAAGGGAAAAGTGTTGGGGTGGGGGCTTGTTTTAGGGAAAAAGCTGCTTTGTAATACAGGCAATACAGAAACTTTTGGACTACCCTGTCTGCAGACTTTATTTTTCTTGCCTGGCATCATAGACTATCAGCAAGTGGGGAAGAGTCTTGCAGGTAAAATTTGATGAAGGTGGCACTTCCTAAATATGGCGGCCTATTTATCTGTTCAGCTTCTTGGCTCAAAAGAGAAGAGGCCTAATCCAGCAAACTGTTAAAATAAATGAGCAGGAACTAGTGCTGACATGATTGAATAGATAAGCAGGAAGTGATAGGGGACATAATCAGGTATCTTTCCTAAGTAAGTTTACAGATGTGGGGAGTGAAAGGCTAAAGAAATTTAAAGCTTAACAGTGGTTTGCCCCATTTAACGTACAGTTTTTTGAATGTGTTAATGCCTTGTATTGTTTTGTATTTAAAATGGGACATGAAAAGGGAAGAAACATAAATACAGAAAATGTGCAGATAATCAAACTGTATACTTCTAGTGCTAATATGCCAAAGATAGGGCATGGAGCTTGGGTTGAAGATGTATGGAAAAGTGGGACTATGTGAATGAGAATACTGAAAAAGTAGACAGCATCTAGCCTGCGTCTGAAGGCAGAAGTTGAGACAAGCATTGGTGTCTGCCCTTTCTCGCTGGCTGTGTCTCTTACTTTCCCTGCTGCAAGAATAAACTATCTACTCCAGTCTTGCTTGCCCACTTACTGTACATTTGGAGAAACTCTGACCACTTCTGGAAGTGTTAGATTTACTTCCTGTTGTTTATTGCTGTCTCTCTCCTAAGAGAAAGAGCAGCTGAGCTGCTGCTGCAGTCAGTAACCTCCCAAATGTGAGCTGCAGGTAGACTGTCAGTCGGGAGCAAAGGGAGAGCTATTGACCCTTGTCATCTTATACATTCCTGTGGTAGAAGGCTCTGGAGGAGTAGGAGCAGGTTGCTTTATCAGGATAATCATCTGATTGGTGGTTTTCTTGTCAAGACTGCTAGAAAAGCAAGTCCATAAGAGCAAACTATGAGGAAGACAAATTCACTTTGTAGCTAGAAGGTGACCAGCATTGTTCTGAATACCTTGCAGAAGCAGCGTGTCATTTCATCAATATATGGACACCTACTAATTTAAATTTCTGAAATATTTACTCTAGCCTTTTTTCCTTTCTCCTCTAGACTTTTGCTTAAATGTTGTGGAGAGTACTGTATGGATGCATACTTAAAATTTAAATGGGCTGTTACCTTAAATAAGAAGTGCCATGAGCATGATGAGGTAGAAAGCTAGATTCTGAAGCTAGACGTATGTGCTACAGGAGACGAGTGCTTGTACTGACAGATCAGAGTATAACTGGTTAAGTAATTGATTTCTGGTCCAAAGTGAACTTTTTTCCAACTTTAGTAGCTGTGTTGACAGCTTAATTTCTCCTGAGTGTTACTTTGATGCCTCTTAGACATGTAGTGCAGGTAAATTTCTTAATGTTTTACTGGATTTCTGTAGCATGGCTGAGGCTACAGAGGGTGTTCTGGAGTGGCAGGTTAAGCAGCTAAATAAAGTCTTGTGCTTGTGGCTGCCTGGTAGATTACAGGACAGGAGACGGGGCTAGTAACCCTTGGAGAATGTGGTAAAGAAGTCTGAACTGTTCGTGCTGTAGGTAAGAGGAGGAAAAGGAGCAGATCCCAGAAGTTTTGGGTGTAGTCTAATCTTAAGCAGTTTTAAAAGTGAGTTCTGCCTTTATGACAAAATACTGCTGCTGGGTATATTGCTTGTTAGATGTGTATTTACAGTTTCTTGGTGTTGCAGTCTGTGAGCCTTAATGAAGACGGTGACTTTCTTCCTGCCCCCCCCCCCCTTCCCCCTTTAGATAGTAAAAATGGGTTCATCTTCTCTCAACCTACTCTTTAACCTGCCCCCTAGCTTTGACATCTACCTTGACTGGTTCAGCTACGCTTTTAACCTGTAATATGACCAAAGGTGTTAAAAAATTTCAGCTGTTAGAGATTAATGGATTCATCTACACTGGAAAAAATTTATATTAGTTTCTTTTTGCTTCTTTAAAAAATGTTGTGTTAGTCATTGTAACAAAAAAGTGATGATTTTTGAGGTTTTTGATCATGTCTGACACAGTCATTGTGGATTTATTAGTGAAGGCTATTTAGGATTCCTCATGAAATTCTAGTTTTCACCCTTTCCTAAAGTACAAGAGTAAAGAACAGTTGATTGAAAGTTACCATTTTTTAAATCCATTGATTACATCACAAAACTTCCTGGAAATGATTTTCATGAAATAAGGTTAAGGTAGCAATTAGGACAGTTTACTGAAAATGGTTATTACATATGGATTACAAGAAATAAAGATTGCTCTTGCCATCAAGGCATGTAGGAGAAGCTTAACACAGGATAGGAAGCAGCTTACCTCATGGAGCTGGCTATGACACTTAGCTCCTGAGAAATGGCAAGAGTAGCTATTGCCAAAGACTAGAGTCGGTACAGTGGTTCACATTTATGATCTGTAGTATCCCATCCTGCATCCCATCCTAGTTCAGCTAGCGAGCGAGATGAAGATATGTGGAAGTCTGTCCTGTTTATTTTTAACTTAATTACATAGTAATTCTTATAAAAAGGGTGTCTGGGTTTATTGAGTTCCTGTATGTGTCGGGAGTAGAGATTATGGCTCTGGTTCAAAAATCGAAGCATGCTTTATTTGATTCCTTCACACCCTGTGTTATTTGTGTTGACCTTCAGGGTTAGGAGTGGTAAGTCAGTGCTGCCATGTACAATGATGTTCACATTGTGTCATCAGCTAATTTGAAACCAGTAGTAGTGGAGGGGATGTGAACAGAAATTGCAGGTCTTTGCAGCTGATGTGCAGCTGCATTGTAGGAAGGTAAGACTGTGAGCCTTCTTTGGCAGTAGCAGGGGATTAGACTGTCAGCATGGTGGCAGTGTATGGAAGGGACTCTCCCCAGCAAGTCAAAGAGGCTTGCAAATTGTGAGAACCCATGGATGTCATCATGTAAACGTGCTAATGTACAGTCATGTAGTGCAACCTCGGTGTGGGTGCAAAGATGAGTCTTTGAATACTAACGGGTTGCTAATGTATGTGATTCCTGGTGTCCAGTGTACATTGTCTGCTATATTTAAGACTCTTAGTTTAAGCCTTTCTCAGACTGCTCTATATTTCTTTTATCATAAGTAGTTGGTGGTTGATGAAACTTTATATTGATGACTTAGTTACTGTCAGGCAGTTAACAGGGCATATATCAACAGTTGAAAGATAACCAACCTCTCTGATCTTGTAAGCTGCATAGCAGTCTTTGTGTAGCTTAAGAGCTATATTGCATGCTTTACAGAGCTGGGGAAGGGAATAGATTTTCAGATTTACTTGGAGGTTCCTGTTCCTCAAGGGAAGGACACAGTTTGACTTGTGAGGAAGTACAAGGGTGACTTGGCAGTGTCAGCCTTAGTATCCCCTTCTGTCTGCATTCTCTGTTCTAGCTGTGGCTTCAAGTCACTGAGTGCTCCTCGGGCAAGCACGGTCCTGATGCTAGGTATTTGGTGTAGCTGTAGCACAGGAAACACAAGGTAAGCAGCTTGAAAGCTGCAGGCCTGTAACCTCTGACCTAGATATTATAGTGATGACTGTTCTGCAAATACCTGAGCAAAAACCTGTCTAAACAATGAAATGTTTTGGTAAGTTAATTATTTCGTGTGTAACCAATCCTGGTTGCCTCTTTTCAAGTTTGAAAGTGTTCTGAGTTGAAAACTACTGCTGCTAGGATTCTTTTAAACATTAACACAAATTGGATTGACTTTCAGGATACTAATACTTATGTAATTATGTTTGAAAAGAGATGTAGTATTTCTGTCAGTCAGGGAATTTTGGAGCTAACTCATGCTGTATGAATATATAAATATACATATCCACATATATAAAAAGCTGTACATAAAATGTAACGATGTTTTCAGTACTGCCAATAGCAATGACTTGCAAAACTTCATTCAGTATTTTGGAGTTAGATATACTTCTAAGTTTTGTTGGTTTTGTTTTTTGGTTGGTTTTTTTTGTTTTGGTTTGGTTTTTTAGGTAAAAGTTTTGTTTGTACGCAATCTTGCCAATACTGTAACAGAGGAGATACTAGAAAAGGCCTTCAGTCAATTTGGAAAGCTAGAGCGAGTGAAGAAGCTAAAAGACTATGCTTTCATTCATTTTGATGAACGGGATGGTGCTGTAAAGGTAAGTGAAGAGGACTGTAACTCTGTGTGTGTAAGTAGTGACTAAACATTTAGAAGCTGTATACTTCTTTTAACTTGAGAAGAAGCTCCTTCTGGAGAAATCGTAACACATTGTCAGTGATAACTTTGTCCTCTCTGGGTGTCTCCTAGGAAGATGCAGTTGCTAGTTTGAAAAGCGGGTCTTAGATGTACCTATCCTAAGTAATTTTGCTCATGAGTATTTAAGATAATCCTACGTGTTATCATTTCAAACAGAAGTGTCAGAAGTTGAATGACTCTTCTCACCAAATTATTGGGACAATCTAAAGCAGTTTATCTAGGGCAGGTGATAAAAACTTAGGTAATCTTTTTATTTTCCAGGGACAGAATGACTTCCTTTTTATGGTGTGGAATAAGCACCTTTTTCTTTTTGATGAGAGAAGCTGGACAATTGACTAATTGTCGTTCCTCGATTTTGCTAGCCTGGTCTTGGTGTTTTTTCTCCTGTCATCTGTTGTTAGGAAGGGGAAGTGTAATTCCTCTCCTGCCTGTAGTGTATCGTATTTTTTGTGTTCTGTGGGAGGATACAGAAGGATTCAGTTTTTCTTACTCATCCAGATGCCTTAAATCAGATGCTTAGGAAGATGATGGAAAGAGTCTTTTCATAGGATATGTATCCTGTCAAGGCTTAACTATGTAGAGTCCCTAAAAGTGGTAGAATATTTAGGATTCCCCTGCTTGAATTTGACTTGTAGCAATTACTGTGACCCATGGGAATTGGACGTGTGTGTGTTAGCAGGGTTTTTGTTGTTTGGTTTTATTTTTTGGTGGTGCTGGTTTGTTATGGGTTTGGTTTTGTGGTTGGGATGAGACTGTTAAATTCTAAATTTTGGCTTCTGGTTTAAAAAGGAAGTTACATTTATTTCAAGTAAAATAAAGGAATAAAAACATATACTGATCTCTAGCTTTAGTAGTGTTTGTGTGTGTGTTGACATTAGAAATTTACTGCTGTATTGCAAAATCTGTACTTTCAGAGGACAGTTCTGTCACTTCATTAATTGAAACAGCTTGTAAAAATTGAAGCCTACTTACAGTTTTGAGTGGAAGGTTTTTCAACTGATACATGCAGTCCTGGGTTTGAGAGCCAAGTTAAGAGGAAATGTGTAACTCTGGAACCTATGATACTATGTTGTCTGATTATTTTAAATTTTTTTTAGATTTATATTGTTAATTTTAGGTCTGGATAACAAATTTTAAGATGCATACTCTAAAAGATAGAATAAAATTAAAAACATCAGATATGCTTAGAAGTATATTTAAAGTCTGGTTAATTCCTTCAGGCAATGGAAGAAATGAATGGCAAAGATTTAGAGGGAGAAAACATTGAAATTGTTTTTGCTAAGCCACCAGATCAAAAAAGGAAAGAACGGAAAGCTCAGAGACAAGCGGCTAAAAATCAGATGTAAGTGTAAATGCATGCACATATGTTGTGTTACTTCTGAAAGACGTGTACACTCCTACAGAATTGTAACTTCTGCGTATTTTAGTAGGTATGCTATAGTGTATACAGGTTTTCTGGCTTCCCTAAAAATGTTGGATTCATTTAAGTTGCTTGAATTTTACTTAAGATCTAGTAGCAGTGTTGGTGAGAATTCAGGTACTGTTTTGCTCTGATCATTGAATGTGAGAGCACCGGAGGAAATGTTTGTATGTCATGAAATGTACACACTTCTCGCTTTTTATTCCAAACTTCCATGTACTTCTGCACTGCGATGTCATGTGGATGAACTTAGCAACACGTGCTTCTCCCAGTGGGCTTAGCAGTACTGATACAGCCCCCCTGTTTAGTGAAGTACCCACTGAAAGTAGGATCTTGACATTCTTTTTTGCCACTTCCAGAAGATAGATCTGCTCATGAAGCTTATAAACTCATACTAATAGAGATCTTGCACAAATAAATGCTGAATATGGGGGGGGGGGGGGGGGGGGGGGGTTTGGTATGTCGGGGGGTGTTTGTGT